CAATAAATTACTCGTTCACCATACTCCCAAATGGGTAATAACACAACACGTGATTTATATTTTGTATGAGCAGTGTCTTATATAATTACAATGGCAGTAAAGATTAGTTGAGTCTTTACTAGATCATAGACGGGACGCAGAGAGAGAAAGTGTGCTGGTATGTCCTGATGTAAGGTATAACACATGGTAGCATTCTGAAGATGTTTGAAGAGAAAATCATGAATAATTATTGATTCCCACACTACCGGTACTCAGCTACCAAACATCAGCTACCAAAATCCAGTTTTATGAAATGCTGTATCCACCTTTCTATTTGACCAGGACAATATGACATCAAAGGAAAGCTAACTGCTTGAGTGGGGAACAGAGACACAACATTCTCGTCATGGCTCAGTACGTCTTCGCCCGCCGCGGATATAACGGCATCACCCGAGTCGACATGGAAGACTATTTTGACGATGTGGAGCTGGAGAGTCTGTATCAGTGGGTGGACAGAGTGCCCTTGTCCCGGCCCAAGAAAAACATCGGAAAGGACTTCTCAGATGGAGGTATTGTATCCTGGCTTTTATTCTTTTTCTAGTTTTTTTGTTTTTTTAAACATTTATTTATTATTTATTTATAAATTAATTTTATTTAAAAAATTTTGTGTTTGTTTGCCAGTCCCTCAGCTTCCTCCTGTCCTAGACTATATTTACCTGAAAACTTCAACTGCACTTTTATGTGCTTATTATTTTTTACACTCACAACAAGTTCAGCATCCTTCCAGGTCTGTTCACACAAAGATTAGTGGATGATTAGAAAAGTAGCTGGAAGTTTTATCTTTCTCCTGTCAGTTGTGATGTGGGTTTTTTTTTGGTTTAGTGCCTTCTGTTTGTCCGTGGAGCGAGAGGTTCTTGTCACATGTGACCACGTACACCTTTCAACTGAAGCAGGCAAAACTAACATGAAAAACAGTGTTGTATCGGGGTGAAATCTGCCGCTCATAAAAGGTAATGAAATCAAGGAAGTTGTCAGTTTACAGCCTGTTAACCCACTTTCATCTAATGTTTTTTTTTGCTCAAAACCTTTTGTGTCCGTCTAAAAACAAATTTCTGTTTTCGTTTTGCCGAAAAAAGGTTGATCAAAGGCACAAAAAATGTAAATTTCCAGTTTCCAAGAATACACAAACTTTGGTAGTCATTTTCTCACCAATTTTACTTTTGACTCCAGGAGACCCCCACCTCCTTCAGTCGCAGATACCTCGACTTCTATTCAAGATAGAAGGGAAGTAATTTTTTGGTTCATTAAAAGAACGAACAGTCTTTAAGATTAAATAAATAAAACTAAATATGCCCCAAAATTGATGAGCGCCTGATTTTGCCATGTCATGACGCAAGTACAGTCGGACCTGTGTAAGACGGCCACCTATTGGCAAGGAGAAAAGTGGCCATCTAAGACAAGTGGCCGTCTTATACAGGACTTGTTGTAACCTGTATTTGTTGACAGTTATCATGTAGACACAGAAAAAGTTAGTTGTGTGGTTCTCTGAAGAAAGAAAGAAAGAAAGAAGAAACTAAATACCTTCTGTTTATGAGGAAGTGTGTGTAATCATAGCATGTTCTTACTTTGTAAGTCAGACATAGGTTCTTCCAATACTTGTTTCATTCTAATGACCAGACTTTCTGTCTGTGCTAACTAGGCCACGACCATACAACCAGACTTTCTGTCTCTCCTAACAAGACCACCACCATACAACCAGACTTTCTGTCTCTCCTAACAAGGCCACTGACGTAATCTCAGACTGTCTGTCCTCTCCCTCTGTGTCCACCTGTCTGTATTTCCACCACTCACAGTGTGTGGATCAACGTCTGGATCTATAACAACACTGGATCGGTAATAACAACAGCGTGTGTGTGTGTGTGTGTGTGTGTGTGTGTGTGTGTGTGTGTGTGTGTGTAGTGCATACGTTTGTGTTTTATAATCTTATGTATGTGCGTGAATAGGTTCGTGCGTGTGTTTGTGTGCAAAGCATGCGTTTGTGTTTTATAATCCTGTGCGTGTGTTTTCAAGTGTCAATATGAGTAGAAGTGGAGGACTCTTTCCCCCCTCTCTCTCTGTCTCTCTCTCTCTCTCTCTGTCTCTGTCACTGTCTCTGTCTCTCTCTCTCTCTCTCTCTCTCTCTCTCT